GTTATTATTTTTGAGACAGAGTCTCGCTCTGTCGCCAGGTGCCAGGCTGGAGTACAGTGGTGCGATCTCAGCTCACTGCAACCTCTGCCTCCTGGGTTCAAGCAATTCTCCTGCCTCAGCCTCCCAGGTAGCTGGGACTACAGGCGCACGCCACCACACCCAACTAATTTTTTTTTTCTATTTTTAGTAGAGGAGGGGCTTCACCATGTGATTCTCCTTCTTCTACCTGTCCTCAAGTGTGGTTGGGTCCTGCAGTCCTGTTTCATAGTCCCCATGGACCGTATGCCCCCTAGAATAACCTGTTAGCCTTAGGAACACATAAATACATGCACAGAAAGATCCCATGTGCTAAGAGGCTAAGAATCTCCAGTGAGTGGGGAGAAAGATATTAGCTCAGAAATTCCTTGGTTGGGAAATGTCTTCATAGCCTCTTGGGGAGCAAAGGAAAGAGCTTGAAGGACTTTAGCCATGACACCCCTCTCAGCGTGGTGACCAGGCCCTTCCTCCTTCAGCACCTGTCTACCTCTCAGTGGTCATTTAGAACATTTACGCCTTCCTGTCTTTGCTTGGGTTCTCCTGATGTGTGCAATCTCATGAACTATGCCTCCTCCAGCCTCCTCGGCTTTGCATATGCTGCTCTCTCACTTCCCTTCAACGGGAAAACACAGATCCCTCTTCGGCAGTCTTCTGTTTACTTGTCAGTATTCCCTGCTCAGATTAGAAATTCCTTGCCTAGCACGGTAGCACTCAGTCCATAGATTAGTATGGCAGGGGCTCCTGGGCCCTTCCTGCATTTGCCCCTTCTTCCTTCCCCTGACCCCTTCCCTATTATGCCAGAGAGCTTGTTCTGTGCAGCAGAGGTCTGCCCTGGCCGTGTGCGGCTGCATTCTCTCCTCTTGCAGAGGCAATTCCCTGCCTTCTTCAAGTCCCCTTTTCTTTGTAACATGGGAGTTCGTTCATTGGGATCTCATGGAGGCCCTCAGCCCTGTGCAGAGTTTGTTTCTTAAAATTGAAGCAAAATCTCTGAGATTGTGGAGGAAGAGGTTTCCTTTGGGCCTGTGGGCTCAGGTGGGCTGTGCTGAGCTTTACTCGAGGGGACACGCTGCCCACCAGGATCACACCTGTGGGCAGAGCCCGCCTCTGACACCCTCCTTCCCAGCTCACCGTAAGCCATTCTCCAGAGACCCTCTGTGGTCTCTGGTCTCCCCTCATCAGTGCTTGTGGCTCTGCAAGCTTCTCACTAGGAGCGTTCACGGTTGAAACTCTCACAAAAATAGCTTCAAGCTGGAAAGAGGAAAATAGAATAACTCCGGCCTCTCCCTGCCAAAAACAACAAAGCAACAGTGTGCGAGCAACTAGCCCAGTCCTCTGGGAACGGATGCTAACAGCAAGGCTCCATCATTTCACCCTCTTCAGCTGCGGTACACCCCCAGAGCCTGTGTCTGGGGTCATGTGCCATTAATTAATTAACTGATTGATTAATTGATTAATCAAATCCTCTGAAGTCACTGAGCATTCAACCTTGTGGTTTGGACTTGGGACTGCTCCAGACTCCTAGCCTTGGTGTCATCTTTTGGGTCACCCCTGAAAGCGGGACAACTCCCTCAGCCACTCCTGTCCACCAGACCTCTCCAGGTCCACACTAAGGAAATGATCGCACAAACAGCTACTCGTTTAATGGGAGGATCATAAAAACACCCCCCACTCCCTGGAGTTTCAACTGTGTCTTTTGTTAACAGTCAATAATAATCAGTAGCTGCCTATCAATTTGCTGTCTTGAATTTCCTATTTTTTTTCTTTAAACAGATGTAAGGATATAGACCTGGTTTAAGCTGAACAAAGCCAGAATCCTCAAATCCATACAGGCGCAGACATATGTGAGCCCTGAAGCAATCCAAATGCATCTAAATATTCTTTGCTGTATCACAAATGGATCTAATTTTTTTTTTTTTTCTGAAATGGAAGCCAGAAATCCGATGAAGCCGTTCAAATTGTAATTTAAGCTATAGATTTTTAAAAAATTTATAAAGCTGCTAAACTGGAATGAGGCGGAAGTATCAGAGAGACTTCCAACTAATTGAACAGTCATTTCATTTGGTTCCTGTCCCTGATAGGAGTGTTCTAAGGCCACCTGCCAGATCCCTGTTCTTCTGTATCTGACAGTGTAGATAGCAGCAGGACATTTTCCAGCCTAATGTAGTCATGGGTGAGTTTGTCTCAGCAGAGGGACTTTCACACTCTGGCCAAGTCTGGAAAACTCATCACTTTCAGTCCTTCTTGTTTAAAGTAAGTCACCTTGGTGGGTCTACAGAGGGAATTGTGAGACTGGGAGCTTAGGTGTGTAGCTTCGACACTGCCACAAACTCACTGTGTGACCCTTGGCCAGGCCTTCCTCTCCCCTTGTTGGTCTGTTCACTTGGAAAATGAGGGCATTAAGCTACCTGATCCAGCAGGCCTGTGGGCCTGTGCGCCTGTGGTAGGCAGAGTAATGGCCCCCAAAGCTGTCCCCATCCTAATCACTGGAACCTGTGGATGTGTGACCTTACAATTGTAAAAGAGGCTTTGAAGAGGTGATTAATAATCTTGAGGTGGGAAGGTTATCCTGGATTATGCAGTAGGCCCAATGTCATCAAAAGGGTTTTTTTAAAAGGCTGGGCAGGGGGCCTCACACCTGTAATCCCAGCACTTTGGGAGACTGAGGTGCGCAGATCACTTGAGGTCAGGAGTTTGAGACCAGCCTGGCCAACATGGGGAAATCCCATCCGTACTAAAAATACAAAAGTTAGCTGGGCATGGTGGTGCATGACGGTAATCCCAGCTACTCAGGAGGCTGAGGCAGGAGAATCACTTGAACCTGGGAGGTAGAGATTGCAGTGAGCTGAGATTGTGCCACTGCACTTCAGCTTGGGTGACAGAATGAGACTCTGTCTCAAAAAAAAAGTTCTTTAAAAACAGAAGAGGGAAGCATGGAGAGAAGTCACAGTTACAGGGAGATGTGCCTGTGGAAGAAGGTTAGATTTGTGACAGGAGAAGGACTTAATCCGTCATGGCTGCCTTCGAAGACTGAGGAAGGGGCTGCAAGCCAAGGAATGGGGGCAGCCTCTGGAAGCTGGAAAAAGCAAGGAAAAGGAGTCTCCTGTAGAACTTCCAGAAAGAAATGCAGCCTTGCAGACACTGGATTTTAGCTCAACGAGACTGTGTCAGACTTTTGGCCTATCGAACCGTAAGATAATACATTTGTGTTCTAAGCCACGAAGGTAATAGTTATTTGCAATGGCAGAGATAGAAAATAATACGAGGGGGCAGCTTTACACTCTTGAAGAATAAAACCTAGCTTTGCTAACAGCTGGCAGCCCCACCTGGGCGAATGCTTGGGAGGAGGCATCACAGGGGTGCTCTGTCCCAGCTGCCATCTGCAGTCCCCAGGACTGGCAGCTCCTGGCCACGCTTGGATGCGAGCATCCCACTGGGCAGGGGAGGCGGTGTTGTTATGGCACTTTGAGTCTCAGATCAACTGATTCTGCATCTTCTCTTCACACAGGTAAGGCATTATCTTCATCCAAAAAATGAGGGAGCTGTGCCCAGAGGAGCATTGTCTCACTCACTGTCACACAGCTACTGAGAGAAGGTCATGGGGCCAGGGCTCCTAACTCCTGGTGGGAGACTCTTCAGTTTGTCACATTGGGCAAGTAACTTTTCCTTATGTTAGCGGGTCATGAAGGACAGACAGACAGACAGATAGGGAGGTCGGATGGCAGAATGGGACCAGAACCCTGAACCTCGGTCTGGCCAGTGCTTTCTGAGCATCTGTGCATGAGGGGAAAGGCACAAGCCACATTAGGTCTTTCTTCACTGCTTTAGGAGAGATTCTGAGTTGGGAGTGGTGGGGGCCGGTAGGGGAAAGTAAAAGATGAGGCTGAAGGAACTGTTGCAGCGGAGCCCGCGTGGTGCTGAGGATGAGGGTTCTGCCTGAACAGGAAGCTCTCTCTCGCACTTGGAGGCTGAAAAGGGCATGCCCTGCACCTGTAACACCAAAAGGCAACTCCAACCTCTCATCCCACCTGGACATCCTCTAAGAAGTCATGGGGAGCAAGGCGGAGTGCCAGTGTAACAATCTCTAGGGAGACAAGGCAGGTTGGTTTGCTGGGGGTGGGCAGGTCAGGAAGGCTTGTGTGTGTGGGAGGGAGGCCATGCTGGGACCTGTGTCCAGCTGAAATTCATTGACGGGGTCAGGAGGGGTCAGGATAGCAGACAGGTCACAAACCAGCCTCCTTGATGGTTTCCATGTCTGGGCAGCATCCTCAAGCCACATGCCCGCAGTCTGGGCTAGTGTCCTTCAGAACGCAGGCGGTGAGCTAGCAGTGGGCCTTGAAGATATTTACAAGGGTTGTGAGCAATCATTAAAAAAAATTTAGAATAAATATATAGAGTAAGCACATTTGGTAAAGGTAAGTGTTGTTGCGTAAAACTTTACAGATACACAGTCTGCAGTTTTTGGGTTTTTTTAAAAATTTTTTTTTTTTTTTTTTTTTTTTTTTAAGGCAGGATAAGAGCAGCTATTAGTCAGTGGCTATTTCTTTTCCACTATGGAGGCAATATGCCCTTTTTTTTTTTTTTCTTTTGAAACGAAGTTTCTCCCTCGTTACCCAGGCTGGAGTGCAATGGCACGATCTCGGCTCACTGCAACCTCCGCCTCTTGGGTTCAGGCAATTCTCCTGCCTCAGCCTCCTGAGTAGCTGGGACTACAGGCACGTGCCACCATGCCCAGCTAATTTTTTGTATTTTCAGTAGAGACGGGGTTTCACCATGTTAACCAGGTTGGTCTCGATCTCTTGACCTCGTGATCCACCCACCTCGGCCTCCCAAAGTGCTGGGATTACAGGCGTGAGCCACTGCGCCCGGCCCTCAATCTGCAGTTTTGACCTGGCAAGACTGACCCTTTCCTAGGCCCCGGAGGAGAGAGACTTGAATGTGGAGAAAAGGCGGAAATAACTCAGCCATTTCCACAAGACCAGCTTTTAATATGACTGTGATTTGAAGCACGAATAAATAAACGCCAAAGAAAATGGAAAAACCAAACCAAACCTCAGAACATCAAGATTTAAAAAAAAGCATAAAACAAAGCAAAACAAAACAAATCTCCATCAGACAAACATAAACGCCCCCCGACCCCAAATAAAAAGAATCAGACTGTACAAGTTGTGTCACAGGAAGAGAAGAACGACATGGGCACCGTGGGTGAACAGGGGAGCCCCCCGTCCGCTGGCTCCTGTGCTGCGCCAGGGCGGGAGGGAGGTTGGCCCAGGTCACCTTTGGCGCTGAAGCCCCATGGGCCAGGTTGGGGGATAGGGGGTTTGTGGGCAGGTTAAGAACCTTCACAAACGACACAAGAACTGAATGTAGCAGAGTCCCACGGTTCCCTCTTGATTGTGCAGTTCTGATTCCAGGGTGGCCTCATGGTGACTCTGGACCTGGAATCTGGTCCCACTGCATGGGCAGCAGTGTGGACACTGGAAACCGTGTGGAGGAATGTCATGTACAAGACAGACGTGGAGGTGGCGCCGTAAGAAGTCTGAGCATGCAGGTGCTTTATACATCTGGCAGTGAGATGTGATGGCAGGTTTGTTCTTGGACAGTGCCAGAGTGTGACTCATCTCTCCTAAGAGGGACGCACGGCGGGACCCAAGGACACGTCGTGTTAGACGTGGCCAGAGCGAGGTCTAGGCGGCTAGTCTGCAATGTGTGCATAGGGGCTCTTGCTTCCTTCCAGCGTCAGAGGCCATCCCACCCGAGCTTTCTGTTCCTTGTCCTGGGTCTTGGGCCTCAAGGTCTGTTTGGAGGGGGTGCTGGGTGGCTCGAGGGGTGTCAGCAGGCAATCTCCTCCAAGGTCCCCAGGGCTGTCTGCAGGGGCACGTTCACAGTGTGGCTGATGGTTTCAGAGTGGTTTGGCATTGTGTCACAAGTGCTCTGGAAGGGAATGGTTGGTGTGAGTTGATTATTCGCTCAGCAAAAATTCATCGTGATGCCACCAGTGGCCCAGCCTCGGCTCTAGGGAAGGCGCTCCCCACTTCTGGGCTGCTCCTGCCTCAGGCATCTGATAGGCTGCTTTGCCATTGTGGGGCATGAGGCTGAATGGAATTCTTACCATTGCACACCCAGGTGCCTCCTATGGCAGTGAGAAGGCTCCCTGGTTTGATCAGCAGCTGATTTAATCCCTCCTACCGGTGCCCCTGATGTAACTGGACCTATCTCTGAGTAGTCTCTAGCTTTGGGGCTGGATGGTCCTGAGTCCGGATCTCTCCCTTGGGGGCCTTCCTTGGGGCTTTGGTGCAGGAACTGCAGTCTGTGGCTAGGCCTGGGGCAGGGAGCACCCCTGGCTGAGGCCAAGCAGGAAGGGTAGAAGGCCTTAGAGCTCAGAACTGGAGCTGGTCAGAGCTGCCCCAAGGACTTTTAGAGTTAAGCTGGACCCAGAGAAATATAGCTGTGGGTCCCCAAGCAGGGACGGGCTGAGCTGGCTGCACATGAATCTTCAGCCTGGTTCCCAGGCTGTGGTGGGTGGGAGGCCAGGAGGGATGGGAGCAGGGGACAACTAGCCAGGAGGCTATGCCAGAAATTTGGGGAAGATTTGATGGGGCCACAGCTAGGGGAGGAGGAACAGGATGGAGAAGAGGCTGTGACACTGAGATCTTCCGAAGCAAGAAGGGCTCTGGGGGGCAAAGGGAACCACTTCCTGAGCACTTACTATAAACTGGGTGCTGTGCTGACTGCTTTGCTGGCAGGATCTCACTTAACTCGGGTGACAGCCTCCTGGGGTCTGATCTGGAAAGATGCTCAGGGAGGTTAAATATATAACTTGCCCCCAGACACACAGCCAGGAAGCTGGAGCCCTGGGATCCAGCCAGGCCAGTTGAGGCCAGAGCTTGGGCACATTCCACACTGCCCTCCCCCTCAGCAGAAGCTGTCTTTCCTTCCACAGAGGCTGCAGGGGACCAGAGAATCAAAGCAAGATGTGTAGACAGTGTGTGGAATAGAAATGGGCGCCCATATAGGGTGGAAGGGGCTGGGATCCATTTTGGATTTGTTGACATTAAGTGGATGGTAGTCACTCAGTGGGCATGATTTTCCATGGCTGGAGGTGCTGATTTGGGGCCCAAGACTGGATGGGGAAAGCCAGCAACACCTGCACCCATCCACGAAGGCCTGAGCCCAGGAGGAGACTGAGTTTGGGAAGGAGAATGACCAACAGCCATAGAGGGGCTGCCTCTCGGGCTATAGGAAAGAGAGGCAGAGTGGGGCAGTGGTTAGAGGCGGTTGGAGGGCAGCTCTGACACTCAGCAGCTGTGGGACTTTGGTCTCTGGGCCTCCACAGCCTCAAATACAAAGTGCCTGACAGTGCCTGACACGTATCAGGCATGCAACAGTCAGTAGCTATAACGGGCACTATTGCTACTATCAACTTCATGGGACTCCACAGTCTATCCGCTTCTAATGGGATGGAGAGTCAGTGGTGCTCTGCTTGTACTTTGCCACCACTGGGGAATAAGGGAGTAGATATCCAGAGCCTCTCCAGTTCTCCCCCTGCTGTGAGATGAGGGGAGCAGCTGCCTGCCTGGGAGAAGCTGGATTGGGCCAGGCAGGTCCTACTCTTGGAAGCACCTCCTGGTGTCTGCTGCATCCATACTGGCTTCTGGGATGAGTCTCCGAGAGAGGCTCGAGGCTCAGCTGGAGTGTCCTTGGATTTGGGAACTGACAGCATGTCCCAAGCCATGAGAAGGTGTGCAGTGAGTCACATCTTTCCTGCCTGACCCCAGTATCTGGTTTCATGCTGCCGGTACAAGCCAGACCAGCAGAGCCACATCCAGTCAGTGAGCTGCTCTTACCACATTCTCATCGTGGCTCCCTTCGTCCTCCTCTTTGCCAAGCAGGTCTAATAGCTTCTCTTTGATCAGCTGCAACAAAAGCAGGAAGGGCTGGTCAGGCCGGGAGGAGGGTGCAGAGGTAGAAGGGACCTCCCTCCACTGGGCCCCGCTGGGGCTGGCAGCTGCTTGGGCTGTGGCTGGACAGACTGTAGCACAAGCCCAGCCTGGCAGCCAGCACCAGGTGCCTGTCTGTCTCAACCCAGCCTTTTGGCTGAAATGGGGTTTTGTTGCAGGAGCTAGAACTTAGAAGAGGTAATGAGAAGAAGCCCTGCTTCGCAGCGTGGACTGCTATCTTTGTGCTGGAGAGTGTTAGTAGGTGGCATGTGCTGGTACAGCTGGCTCCCTGTCTGTCCTCAGGAGCAGCCTCCCCTTTCTGTGGCTAGGCCTGGGGGACAAGATTATTATTCGCTCTCTAGGCCTGACACTGCACACAGTTCAGAAGACCAGGGCATGTCTGAGTTCATAACATTTTATTCCTGGCAACAAAGGGTAGTTCTTAAATCTGTTACCTGGTGTGATTCAGTTGCCACAACTGTGTACAGTTTTTCACAAAAATTCATAAACAAAGCAGAATAAAATCTGGCCGTGGGTACTGATGTGGTTCTGGGCTCACTGCGCCGAGAGGAGTGAGATTCTTCAGAGGAGCCTGGTCACTGGGATTTTGCTGCAGGAGCTAGAACTTGGAAGAGGTAATGGAGGGCCCTGCTTTGCAGTGTGGACTGCTGTCTTTGTGGGCAGTCCCACAAAGTTCCCCACTGTGGTGAGCTGCTTTTGGTCACCAACAGATGCCTCTGAGAGGCAGAACATGGCTCTGCAGGATCCTGTCTACTGCTCCTGTTTGGGGGACTTCACAGGTTCGGGCAATCTTTGGAAGTTCTGGAGCCATTGCCTTTTTCAGGGGCACACGTTGGAGGCGAAGTGCACTGCCCATCTCACAGCCAGGGGGATGGAGGCCTCCAAGGCAGCACTGGTCAGGACAGAGCCTGGGATGGTGGCATATCCGGGCTCGCTCTCAGAGGGAGGTGCAGGTGAGAAGGCGGACAACTCTGGGACTCTTGGTGCCAGAGAAGCTTTTAGAGGCCTTGTTCCAGCCGCCTCTTGAGGGAGACATCTCCCCAGTCGGTCAGCAGCCGGGGCAGCTGGCATGCCCTGCTGTCTTCTCACTCAGGATTGCTGAGGATTGCTGGGAAGTGCCCCTTCCCTAAGACTGACTGGGCCACAGAAGACATGACTCAGGGGATGGGCCACACAGAGGGGAGGTGTGTGTGGGTTGGGGAGCTTGTGTGCAGGTGTGCACATGCCCGTGGATGAGGCCACCACCTCCAGCCCAGCTGCAAGAGGGGCTTGGAGCTGGCCTCCGAACAATCCGGCCTCTTCTCCTGATCCCTGCCCATCCTTCCCTGCCAGTGTAGACGGCCCAGTGCTGTTCCAGCTCCCAGAGGACAGGCCTGTGTTTCTCTTACATCCACCACCCCCACAAAAAAAACTCCCATCCCCTTCCCCCATGGTGCCTGGGCTTCAGTGACCAACTATCGGTGGACAGGAGGGGAAGCAGGCTCTGCATGGAGAGAGGCACCACCTTCCCTCTGCTGTGGTTCTGGACATGGGGCAGGATGAGGGCACCAGCATGTGGTCATTTCCCTGTGGAGAATCCCAAATCTTACCTCATAAATATAATCAAAGAGCTCTAGTATTGTAAGGATACTAGCACCAATGAACAATCCCATCTGACCACCAATATCACCTGGAGAGAGAGGGAAAAGACCAACGATGTGCTTTTATGCAGCTTCCAGGAAGGGTGAACAGACTGAGATGGAACCCAGAGCTTCTGAATGGCACTCCCTCCACGGGGAGCCTGGGCCTTGCTGTAGGAGGGCCAGGCCTTTGGCAGCTCCTTCCCTCATTGCACAGCTCTGAGAGCTAGTGTTTTTCAGCATTCAGTGGGGTCGGGGACTAACCTGATGGCTTATTGGAAGGGCTTAGAATAGATCTCACGACCCACAGGGCTAACAGGGTTGTTCAGTTGCACTGAGAACCACACCGATTGGGTCCTGCTTTGACTCTGGGCTGGGAATAGGGAGAGCAGAGAGATAGGATGTGTGTGGACTAGAGGCAGGTGCCCTGGGTGGGAGTCTCGGGAGCAGGTACCCCCCAACCTGACATAATATGGGCTTCAGGGCCACCTTGAGATACCTCCCACCCTTGGGATAAGGTCACAGGTGTCTCCTATCTTTCCCACACAAAGGTAAATGTGAAATTTGGATACTTTCTAGAGCTGAGGTTCTTACTCTGGGACTTATGGGCCCCCATTGTTCAAAGATTTTCTGGATTTGTAGATCCCCCTGCATTTAACTCTCCTGGAAGAATTGTTATCAGTGTTGATGCCTGGATACACCTAGGCCTATAGAATCAGAGCCTCTGGGGTTGGCGTCTGGATGTCAGGATTTTTATGTTCCTGCAGAGGGTGAGGTACGTTCTCAGGCCCACCAGAGTTTGAGAACCATTTCCTGGGAGGACTTCAGATGGCTGGGGACTCTCCTGAAATTGAATGCAAAATGTGTGTGCTCCTGGGGAGTCCATAGCTATCATGAGTTTTTAACAGGGGTTCCGAGTCCCCAAAAACTTAAGCTGCTTTGCTGCAGAGGCGGTGTGGCAGAGCAGAGGGCTCTGAGGCTCTGAGTCCAGAGAGTGGCCATCAACTGGTTGTGTGGCTTTTGTAAGTCTTGACCTTCTCAGGAGCTTTGCCTCTAAAGGACAGTTGGTGTTGGTGCAGGGTGGAGGGGGTCGCGTCAGATGAACTACGGAGTTCTTTCCAGCCCTAATCTCTGACTCTCAGTCTCCAGAAAGAGGGGTGGGAATATGAGGTTGGGGGGCACAGTTGGGGGTGGCTGGACAGTTCTCTTGGAGATGCCAGGTTGGCCTCTTGGTCTGAGAACTCTCCGGTGGGCAGATGTGCCCCACTCCTCCTCAGCTTATGGCTGGGTGGGGACCAGCACCCACATGCCAAGGTGAACCAGAGATGGCGGGGAGAGGGCGCTTCCCAGGGGGGCTTGGTCCTGGGCTCCAAATGGCTCTCCCTCATTCCTTCCCCTGTCCCCCTCTCATGTCTTTAATGGAGGCTTCTTGGGGACTGTGTTCTCATGGGTATGTATGTTGGGTGGGAGGTGTGTGATGCACATGTACAGTGTGAGTCTGTAGTTGTATAGTTGCGGGTATGTGCCAGGGCCCGGGGTGTGTGCACGGATTTGTATGAAAGCAGGCAGGAGGTCTGGCTGTGGATGACTTTATGTAGATGGCTCTCCCTATCTAGTTTAGGCACCCTGAATGTGTCTAAGTGTGTGAGTGGGGGGTCTGTGGAGGTAGGCAGAGCATGTCTGAGTATGTACGGCATGCGTAGTGTGGGTGTGCTTGTGTGTGTATATGGGGGTGTGTGGGGGCTGTGTGCACAGGTGTCTCTCTGTAGCTGTGTGATTTGTACATGGGGCTGTAGAGGTGAGCATTTGCATGTGTGATTCTGGACCACCGTGGGTGCACGAACCTGTAGGTTTGTTGCTTGTGTGTGCAGATTGCGGTGGGGTACCCTGTGGGTAGCGTGAGTGCTGTGTAGCGTGCACGTGCCTGGACACCAGGAGGTGAGCGAGGGCCACGCGGTGCTGGGAGAAGGGCCTGATGGGGCCTGATGGCTGAGGGTTTGCAAGCGGCACACGCTGTCATCACAGGAGGTCCAGATGGCAGCATGTGCTCCTCAGCCGGCTATTCTGGGTGGGAACATGATGCTGGGAACAAGCTCATCCTCATATCTGACGCAGACATGACAGATTCAGAGCTCAGGTCCTTCTTGCTCTCTCTCTCTCTCTCTCTCTCTCTGTATGTGTGTGTGTGTGTGTGTGTGAAAGAGAGAGTGAGAGAGAGAGAGAGGATTGTGAGCCTATGCTGGGGGAGCGCAGGGGGTGGGAAGAGGCCTGTCCCGAGTCCTCTTTATGGAAATAAAAGGTAAGGCCAGCACAGGGGTTAGTGAGGGGTCTACGTCTCTGGTGGGGACAAGGGCATGAGTCTCTTAGCCCAGTAGCTTTGGCCACAATGATTTCTGAGGCTGAGTGACAGCCACTTTAACCCAGCTGGGACTGAGTTACGGCTGGGAGTCCCCAACCTCCTGGAGGAGGTATAGAAATGCTTAGCTAGACCAGGCTTGGTGGCTCACGCCTGTAGTCCCAGCACTTTGGGAGGCCGAGGTGGGCGGATCATGAGGTCAAGAGATTGAGACCATCCTGGTCAACATGGTGAAACCCTGTCTCTGCTAAAAATATAAAAATCAGCTGGGTATGGTGGCACACGCCTGTAATCCCAGCTACTTGGGAGGCTGAGATGGAAGAATCACTTGAGCCCAGGAGGTGGAGGTTGCAGTGAGCCGAGATTGTGCCACTGCACTCCAGCCTGGGGACAGAGCAAGACTCTGTCTTAAAAAAAAAAAAAAAGAAATGCTTAGCCAGCTGAGGCCTGGGTCCCTGGCATAGTGACTGTCCAGGTGCCAGAAACTACAATTTATGGACCTTTTCTGGGCAAGGAGCTCATCACATTTAACCATCACAACAAACTCTTAAAGTGGGTTTTATTAAACCCATCTTGCCGATGAGGAATCTGAGGTTCAGCAAGGTAAAGCTACTTGTCCATATTCTCACAGCTGGTGTGAGGAGCCAGATAGGAGGCACCTGCCCCTTCCAAAATGCTAACATCACCTGGTTCAGCTCAGGGAGGTGACAGCTATTTCTCTTTCTGGGGCATAGGCATCAGATCCTTTCTTGAGAGTGAATGGGAGCCAGGAGAAGCGCTCGCGGGTCAAGTCCTTTAGCTGTCCACTGTCAGGGGTCTTGGGAGTTTGGGGCTGGGCTGGGGCAGGATGGAAATTACCCTCTTGTATCCATCATGTGCCACTGGGGCTGGGGAGCTCATGTCAACTTGTGTGGAGCGGCAGCAGGTCTGTGGATACCTGCAGGGACTGGCGCTTCATTTGTGATTGACAAATGACTCAGTCCAGGACTCAACACCTGGCCTTCTTGATGCAGCAGTGTTGCTTTTGGGGTGAAGCTCCATCAGGGCCCTCACTGTGCCCCGCCTGGGGCCACCCACAGTTCAGCCTTCCTGCCTTGTCTTCTTCTGATACCTCTTCCCTCCCTCCATGGCCACAGGAACCTGGCTGCAACCTGGGGCAGAAGACCATGAACTCCAAGAGTGCAGGGCTGGAAAGGCCCAGAGAGACCTTTAGGCTCACCCTCCTCATTGCATAGGTGGGGAAAATGAAGCCAAGATCGGAGAATGAATTGGGCCTGAAATTCCGCCCCACTGGGGATCTTTCCATTCCGGGAGAGGACCAGTGCAAGGAAAGAGGGGGTAATCGTTAGTAAATTAAAAGGTTAGACTCCTCTGAGACTATGCGTCTGTCTGCCTGCCTCTCCATCCACCTGTGCATCCTCCCTCCCTCCTACCCTCTGTGAAATGCGGAAATTTGTGCAATAGACACTGACTTACCAAGTAAGGCAGCAACTTCATACGCCTTCTTCTGTTCAATTGTCTCGTAATTGAGAGCTTCAAAAAATATATCCAGAACAAGGATGTTCTCTCTGCAGATAGAATAGTCAGTACCATACATGGTTAGAGATATCAGCATTCACAGGGAGCATCTAATACAGCTTTCCCATGGAAAGATGGAGAAACAGGCACAGGAAATGAGGCAACTTGCCCGAAGTAGTGCTGGTTAGTGGCAGAGCTGCAGCTTTAAACCAAGAGGCCTGATTCCCAGCCCAGGGCTGGAAGCCTAATCAGCTGCCTCCTTGTGCTGCTTATTTCTCTCTCCCTGCTTTCTCTTTGCCCCCTTTGCAGGAGTCCCGTCTGGCTTCCAGTCCTCTGAGCCACCACAGGGCCCGCCTGGTCCTCAGCATGAAGGTGAGTTTCAGTAATCTCCTGACAAGTCTTGCCTTGGCTGGGGTGCCTGCTTCAGCTGAACTCATGGGCAGCCCCTGCCCACTCCTGAGACCCCCTAAATTCCTACTGGGATTTATAACAAGCTTCTCCTGGTGGGAGGCCCTGCTCTGGCATTGCTGAGTCAACTGCTGAAGTCAGGGAAGGTTTGCAGGGAGCAAGCTTACATCTGGCTGGGGGGTTTTCTGGAAGAAGCATGGCGGCTTGCTTTGCTCCTTTGGGCAGGTGTGTGAGTGAGACACATCTTGGCAGTAAAAGTCGTTGCTGCCTGCAGACTGTCTGCCAAGCAGCAGGGCCTGGCGTCTCCCACAATTCCTGTCTCCTCCAATGTGCTCTCAATGCCTTCAGTGCTCCTTGTTCTCAACCTGCTGAGCAAAAGCTGGCCCAGGATGGGGTCTGGGGACAGTGTTGGCAGGAGGGAGGGGCTGGGGAAGCGAGGAGCAGATTCTTCTCTGGTTCAAAGTATCGCCCTCTCTTGCCTGGGGCACTTCACTAGCGGCTTCCTAGCGGCTCCCTTCTTCCCATCTGCCTTCCCCTGTCTTCTCTACCGCCGCCCTAAGGATCTTTCTAAAACTGCTAAGTTGATTCAAATTAAATAAAATGACAGTTCTACTCCTCAGTCACACAGGCTGCATTTCAAATGCTCATCAGCCACAGGTGGCCGGCAGCTACACCCTGGGTGTCGCAGATACAGAACATTTCCATCACTGCAGAACATTTGTCCTGCTGGGGAGCAGTGGTCAAAATGCAAACTTGAGTCTGTCACTCACCTCTGAAAGCTCTTCAGTGGCTCCTTATTCTGCTAGAAGAAAGCCCACCCCCAGCACCCGCTCAGCTCAGCCAAAAGACCCTCTTGCTCTGACACATGCATCCTCCCCTGTGAAGCTCTCTCTTCTGCCCTGTGCTGATGGTCTCTGCTGAGCCTCTGCCAAGGATACTCACTTCCCCCCATGCTTTCATTCATTTATTCTGTTAAAACACATTTTTTGAGTACCAACTCTGTGCCATTCGCTCCACAAGTACTTGGCAGACAGAAAGAACAAAAAAGATAGTTTCCTGCCTTCAGGGGGCTTTCAATCTAGTGTGGCAGACAGGTCATAAACAAGGAAACACACATGAATATGTAATTACACACTGTGGTGTTATAACGGAAAACACCAGAGGACTTGGAGAGAAAATTAACAGGAGTGCACCTAATCTAGATGCCTGAGATAGCTGCAGTTTTGTTTTTATTTTTAT